AAAAAAAAAAAAAAAAAAAATACACTCGTCATAACATTTGTATTACAAGTTACAAGTCATCTCCAACCGAAAAACTCTTCTCACACTCATTTTGCCATAACTGTCACATCAAACAGTAATTCTTCTTCAATCGAAAAACTCATTGTTAAACCCAAAAGAATATTCTCAAAATATTATCTTTTACATTAACTTTTACAAATTTTCAATACTGCCCACATATTTTACAACTTTTCAAAATTAAACAACATTATAATTAATTTGAAATTTATGTAATAAAATTGATTATAAATGATAAATTATCAAAGAATATTTATTAAATAAGTAAAAACTACACATATTTTACAAACTTTTCAAAATTAGACCATACCATTATATTAAACTTGATTGAAAAAAATATAATATATTATAGGAAATCACATTGTTTCTATTATTACCAATAATTTATTAAAAATATTGATAAATCATTTTAATTTTTTTATGGATATATGAAAATATTTACAAGTAGTTTTATAATTATTGGATTAATTTTTAGAGATATATACACCATAAAAATCTTAAAAAACAAAGTGTTTCCTAATTAAAACAATAAAATATGTTAAATGATATTTAAAACTATCATATAAATATAAATTATATTATTATATATAATAGCTAAAAGTAAAACTGATAGAACAAAAGACTAAAATGCAATTTAAAAAAGATTTTGCTATGGTGAATAGGAAGCGCAAAACTGCAGATCGCATTTTGAGTTGGGTTAGGCAGTTCGGTTGGAGGATTTTTCTGAGTTTGCGATCAAAGAGAATGTCTTACAAGTTACAACTTACACAAGTTGTTTCAATAGGGTTATGCAGTTCGGTTGGAGGATTTTTTTTGAGTTTGCGATTGGAGAGAAAGGTCTTACAAGTTACAACTTACAAGTTGTTTCAATACCTACCAAGTATTGGTAAAAAGAATTCTTTGCACAGCATTCTACTTACTAAAATTTCAAACAGATTGAAAATGTACCTTGAATCTTGGCCGTTGATTTGTGTTGACTTTCTTTACTCGACATCTTATTTTCTTAGGCAAGAGATGACCAGGCCGCTTTTCGTGGTCGGGTTGCAGAGTAGCATTACTCCCTACACCATCGTCCGGCAACGGGAACAAATCTGTCTGCGCCACAATGTACACAAAAATGAGACAATCCAACAAAGAAATTATTCAAATTAAAAAAAAACGATTTTCAATGCTAAATATAATAATATTTTAATCCGTATTCCAATCCAAAGCAATAAAAAGAGCAGAAAAAATATTATTAATTGCATCCTAAAACAGAGCAAAATATATAGAAAATTTGACTTAAGTCGACATTTAGTTATTTACAGTAACCAGCGCGATAGGGTTACCAAAATCAAGCCAAAATCGAAATGCACTTAACCTTTTTGGCGGTTCGTTTCGATTATTTTAGTGTAGAAAAGTTTTGATTGGTCTTAATTTGATTTATTGTTTTTGGTACGTTCCATTTTTCTTTTCGAATCCAATGCAATTTTTTATGCATAGAACAAAATAAAAAAAAAAAAAAAAAAAAAAAAACAAAACAAAACAAAATAAAATTAGGCCAAACCATGCAGTTTGGTGTGGTATAAAGTCGTGTTATGATTGCAATTTCGACAAAAGTCGGGTTTTATTAGCAAAAACGAAAAAAGTTTTTTTTTTAGCAATTAAACCTAGCTATCTTTTTTAATATTAATATTTTTTTTGGTACAATTTTTAATCTTAATATTGGATTGCATAGAAGTTGTAGCGTTACTTTATGCCTAAATTTGCAAAAAATAAAAATAAATTGATACCTGCAAAAATTAAAAAGTTAAGCTTACATAGTATTTAAAGTAATGTTGTGATTTAAATAACTAGTATGAAAATGTAAAACTTTTGTCTTATAATTTCCGTTTACTAGAGATTGGTCTACATACTTGGACATCACGTCCGGCGAGCCTCGCCGCCGGCCTATCTCCGCAGAACGGCGAGCCCCTCTCTGACCACGCCTTCAATACGCCGTCGTAATTAAGTTTCAGGCGAAGCTCGCCACCCGCTTGGCCAAATTCCTCTGCACCCGAACCCATACGGCCCGATTTAACCTCATTTCCATTGCCCGACCCCAATTTCTTCCTCCTCGCCGTCGCCTTCTTCCCCACCGGGACCTCAGAAACCTTCGGAGTCAAATCGGCTAGATCCACGGCGGCGAACCTCCACCACTCGTCCCCTCCGCCGCCGTCCGCGTTCCTCATCGCCCTCGATTCGAAATCGAACCCTAATCCCATCGGATAACCGTAGCAACAACCCGATTTCGATTTCGTATCCTCGATTTTCAGGCTTTCCATGCTCAATTTCCCCATGACGCAATCAATCCCCTCATCAATCTCCTCATCCAAAATCGACCGCGCGCTGAAACTCTCCTCATCTCCGCCGCACAGTTCTTCAGAGTAACCGCCCAAATCCGCCGCTCTCCGCCGCGGATCCTCGATTGAGTTCCAATTTCTCGACCCGGTGCGAAAATTAGAGCTCTGGAGCGACTTGGGAGGCGGCGTGAGCAGGGCCGAGGGCTCGAACAGAAACTGGCCCTGCAGTTTGCTGAATTCGGGCCCTGTTGGGAGGTGTTTGGCCGCGAAAAGCTTGGGATAGGCGGTTGAAAGGATTGAGGCGGCTTCGTTGTAGGCCTGATTGGGCCTTTTACGGCGGGCCCGGGCTTTTCGGGTGGAGATTGAAGTGTGGTTTGATTCAGAGAGAGGTGACGAGAATGATGAAGATGACGAAGATGGTGATGAGATTGAAGTCCATGAAGATGTGTGAGGTTTTATGAGGCTGAGGCTGAGGCTGAGGTTTAAGCTGCAGGCAGAGGACATTGGGAGAAGAAGGTAAGCTCTCAATCTTTTTATCTCTTTATATTTTGCTTGTTTTTAGCTTGAAATTGGAAAAAATATGGGGAAGAAGAACCCTAAACCCTGAAAAAGGTTCTTTTGTATGCTCGTGTGTTGGTTGTGATTTTTCACTATAATTTAGGGGTTAATTTAATTTAAAATGATGATAATTTAATTTAAAATGATGATAATGATGAAGAAACCTGAAAAGCCTGAATAGATTTTTTTTTTTTGTACTTCGTGTGTGGTGTGTGGTGGATTTTACGGCTACAAATTAGGAGTTAAGGCCCTACCAAACCCTTGAAATTTTGAGTAAATAAATTACATTAAATATAATAATAAAAAAATTGAATATCATTGACAAAGTATATTCCAAATAAAAAATCCCCCAAAGATGTGTTTTTTTTTTTTTTGGCAAATAGAAAAATGGAATTGGAATATGTTTGCTAATCGCTATAAGTCTGCTACTTCTTACAGTTTTGTTATGGAGTCATCGAATGGTTCGACTTATGGAGCAATCCACACTTATTTATCAATAGTGTATTGACACATGTCTTACCATGAATACAATTTGGATTGGTGTCAATATATTAAGTGGCGGATGGCTTTATAAGAAAACCATCCGATGACTCCATATAATATTTAGGACTACTTGGTAAGCTTCTTCTATTCAAATACACTTATAAGCTATCAGCTATCTTTCAGTCTGATTTACCAAACATAGTCTTACTATCAAAGACATATAGTACACCATAAGTTCAAAATTTCCCTTATAAAAACATAAAGAAGTAGTTTATCATATGTCAAGACTTTTTCATTTAAATTTATCAAATATATCCTACTGAAGTTGTGATTTAAGAAAACAAAAAAAATAAAAAAACTAAGGTTTAAAATAAAAAGAAGACAAAAACAGATGGTCACGAGAAGAGGGAGATAATACAGGGACCACAAAGACAATCCTTCAATTCTATCTCGTCCAAATATTTATGTGAACACTATGTCTATGGCAATCATAAATTCTGGGCGGTAATTACTAAGCAAGTCGATATGTCATACATTAAAAAAAAAGATTGAAAGTGATGGTTTGTTAAACTATGTGAGTTGATGAATAGTGAATAAAAGTTGATGTGAAGTATAAGAATGATTGGTTATATTATTTTATTATATTGATAATATTAAAGATAGTGAAGTTGCGTTAAAATTAAGTTAAATTACAGTTTTAATTAATTTTTTGTTACTGTAGATACTTTATCAAATTGCTCCCTTGATGGCTCGTCTGCTGACGTGTCAGAATCTCAATGGGTTTATGAAATATTTTAGGGCTGACGTGTAGTGTATCCATAGTTTGTATTTTTTTTTTT